GGCGGGCACCGCCACCCTGCCTAGGTGTCAGAGCCGCTGGAAGCTGATATCCGCTCCAGAACAATCCGTATGCAGTTTCAATATTTAGTTCTAACTTTAGTAAGAGGCAGCATTTCCTCACAACCCAGTCACCTCGTCCCCACAAGGTCACGGCCAAGGTGGGCACGCCTAAACTGAGCGACACTGGTTTAACTCTGAGAATCCATCTGCAGGCAGGCACTGCTGGCGAACTGACCCGAAACGAACAGTGCAGAGACTGTTAGTCAACGCTGGAGCCTCGGATCCCAGTCTGGCTTCTACCCTCGACTAACTTTAAGACGACTCACGTCAGGTTTTTGAACTTTGGTTAAACTCATCCCTATAAACGACAATGAGGAACTCATGTTCGTCTCCGAGGTCCCTTCCAGAGCTGATGTCCCGTCCTCCCGAGAGAGATGCCATCAGTGACTCACAGTCGACCGTGAAAGTGGGTCAATATGTCTAAGAGCAATTATTTAAAGAAAAGAAATGGTTTTCGCAGGGAGAAATTCTAAAGTTCAAGAAAAGAAGATTCTTACCACAAAAGTTTTGGGAAACATTTTATAATTTATATATAAAATCTCAGTAAGAAACCATGTAAAATGACAGAAATATCCACTTTACATTGAATTGAAAAAAAAAAAAAGTCACACACTGAATGTAAATTTTAATTACAAAACAAGAATATGAATAAAACACTTAAAAATAATGTCAATTATTTGGCAACTCATCACATTGCTAGAGACAAATTTGATCTTAAGAAAAGTTTAATCTTATGAAAAACATAAGTTGGACAGTTTGCTCATATGGGAGTTAAAAGATGTTTAAAAAAGAATCTGGCAATAATGCCATTTTCTCCTGAAATAATTATGTATAAAACAACACAAAATCCTGAAGCATGATAGGAGCGACCTAATTGTCAATGTATTTCCCTTTGACGCTACGGAAAGGACACGGTTAAGCCTCGGAAGGGCAGAGAGGAATGAACAGGGACGGAGGGGTTTCTGCCGCAGGTGACACGTCGTGACTCGACCTGAACCAGAACCTTATGCCAGTGAGGCTGGCAGTCAAGTCACAGATGCCAAGTATACTCTAAAAACAAGTCACATTCTTAAAAAACGGAGTCCCAACTGTGAGCAGAACAGCAACGGCGACCCCGGGGCTGAGCTGTCGCTGGAGCACATGCACGAGTCTGTATTTCCTGCCAGAGCACAGTTAGTTACAGGCAGGCAGAGTCCTAAAGACGCTTCTACTAATGGCTGCATAGCATTTAAAACCCTTTCTTATTAAAAAAAATAATAAAATAAAATAAACAGATATATAGTAAAGTTCACAGATAAGTTTTCTCTGTAAAATAAATAAAGTGTTCATTGATTAGCATCATACACCGAGTAAAATACAACCTATTTTTACATGTTTATATACTGTACACGGATGACCAGTAGGCAGCCTGGTGTCTGATGGGCTGGAAGGGTTTGTATTAGTGATGTGTCGCATCAGGAAATCCCAATTTCGAATGTTAAAATATACAACTACTTTGTTTTGAGTTCAGATACAAAGTAAACTTATTTTCCTTTATCTGAAATAAATGTACATAATATCTTCTATGAACAATAGTTTATAAAGCTGTTTAAAACATAACAAGAAGAAGCTTGCACCTAGGAGCTTACAGCACATGCATGTCCTTTCCCTGGTTTAAAAAAATAGCCTGCGGCCCCCGAGGCCCGAGGCTCGTCCCTCGTCTGGCCACCGTGCTCCCGCCAGGCCCGGGCGGCCGGTCAGCACTGCCGCTTCGCCTTCTTCACAGGGGCCTCCTCCACCCTCTGCTGGCCTCGCGTGCGCGCCCCGGGGGGGCTGGCCTCTCTCTTGCGCTTGGTAGAAGGGGACAGCTGTGCCTTTGATCTGCAGTGGACAGAAGTCGAGGCAGTGGTGAGCGTTAAAAGGCGCTGCTTCAAATGATTTGGGAGTTATTTTTAAAAGTGGAAGATTTCTGAACTCGAGAGCCAAGGAGAAGGACCCCGGGTATCGTGTCTACAGGAAAAGGGCTGCAGAAGGGCTCGTGCCAGCTGGCTGGCTGCCGGCTGCCGCACGCCCACTCGGAGCGCCGGAGGGGCCGTCGGAAGCCCCGCTCCGGTCCTGGTGAGTTTCTTCTCTGGGTCCCGGTTCTTCTAGCTATAAAATAACCCACGGCGAGTCCCCCCACACTGCCCCAAGTGGACACAACAGCAAGAACACGGCGGGACTGCGGCCCGCGTCTGCGCAAGCGCGCGGCAGGCTTCGCACAGCGACCGCCGGCGGCGTGGAGGGCGCGTGAGGTCCGGAGTTCTAACCCCGCCGCCCCACGCCACAGCCTGCTCCCGCTCTCCGCTCCGCCACCAGAATTACCTGTTGGAAACGTCGGTTCATCATGTCACTCCCCAGCTTATCTGGATCTACACCTACGGGTGTCTATGTCCATGCGTTTCTCTCTCGGCTCCTGGCTGCGTTCAGGACAAGGTCACCCAGAACACAACGCACAGAGTCCTTAATGCTTTACCCTCGACTGCTCTAGGGTCCTGCCACAGTGCTCCCATTCCCTAACACGTGATGCTCTTTTACACTGTCATGCTTTGGCATGTGACATTTTGGACCCCTCACCCCTCACCTCCCATCTGGCAAACCTCATTTTAAGCCCCAGTTCAAAAGTGAGTCCTTCTGGGCAGCCTTCCTCATCACAGGGCAAGCGAAGTCCCATGGCACATGTGTCCTCATCACAGCACTTACCACCGCAATTTATCCACTGGGCATTTTCAAACTGCACGTGACAGCCATTATTTTAAAACAACGTATTGATAGAACACAACAGAAAATACCCCTGATAGCAGGTCTATTAAGTTTGGCTCATGAAAATTTTGTTTCAGTTACAGCAGCAGTAATGCAAAATATATTCTTATTGTGGGATGACGTTGTTTGAAAGTCATATACACGTATGTCTCCCCATCAGACAGGAGGCTTCTCTACACGGCTGCTGAGTTTTATTCATTTTCCATCTCCAGTGCCTAGTACAAAGCCCAGCACACGCTGGCAAGCAATAAATGTCACATCAGAATGAAAAGACCTGGAAAGCTAAAGTTGCAGGAAATGGAGAAATGAGACTACCAATAGAAGGCACACTTTGCTTATTGTTCCTCTGACAGCAGAAGTAAATAAACTTATACTGAACTACATACGGCTGCATATGATGCAGTTTCAGCACCATATCGCCCACGTGTGATTTGAGAATGACCATTACAAAAGCCATCGGAAAAGCCACCAGTCACTAATCAAGCACCCAGCCACTGAACGGTGAGTGTCCCGCACTGTGCTAGCTGCCACACAGCAGGGAACAGAAGCTCTGAGTCAGTGTGCTTCTTCCTCGCTGTGTGAGCGTGGTAGGTCACCCAGGCCCCGTCCTTCCACCCAGAGTGTGGTCTGTGACCAGCGGTACTGGCATCACTTGGGAGCTTGTCAGAACTGCAGACGCTCAGGCTGTGCCCAGACCTCCAGGGTCAGAGTCTGCATCTTGGCGGGAGCCTCTGCGACTGGTCTGCTCACTCCATTTTGAGGAATAAGGGGACAGGTCTTTCTGAAATTCTTCTCCTCACATACAAAATAAGGATAAATACTGTGTTTTACTTCATGAGGATCAACGGGAGAATCTGCGTGAAAGGTGCCTGGGACTGCAGCCTGCTTCCCGTCCTACCGCATGGAGGTGACAAGTATGCTGTGAAGGGCAAACGTGACAAGAGGCGTCAAGACAGCTTTCGTATACTGTGAAGAGTCTTGTATTTTTTGATGCTACCATGTAATGTACAGGGAGTAAGACAAGTCTCTGATCTCAAGGACGAAACTTATAGCTCAGAGGGGAAACGAAACTAATACACCTCAAGTAATGGCAGACGCCACTGTCACCTGCACACGTCCTGGCCGGAAGCACAGCAGGAAGGAGAGGGGAGGATGGGTTGAAGCAGGCGAAGAGGCGTCCTGAGGAGGGTGGGCGTGAAGGACAGAAGGACCCGGCTTGCTGGGGGCTGGTGGTGAGGGCACCCCAGAAAGAACGAGCACAAGCAAAGGGAAGGCAGCAGGACCCAGCACAACCTGGGCGGCAGCCTGGTCATCAGCCTGCAGTGGGAGGCACAAAGCTGGCGGGTGGCTGTGCCTGAAGTGGGAGCTCTGTCACCTCATCGCCTCTCCAATGCCCTGGCCAAAGCAGAAATGACTCTGGCTGCTCGACCACGAGGCGCTGAATTAACCGAGTGTTCAGGTCTGTGACCACCCAGGGAGAACCATGCCTTCAGTCTTGGTAAGCAGGAGTCGCCACGTAAGGCTCACAGGTGTCGAGGACAAGCCTGGGCAGGAGGGCCACGAAGTGAGGCCAGCCTGGCGAGGCCACCGAGAATCCCTCTGCACCCTTCCTATTCCGTTTGGAGTAGGTTTCCACGTGGGAAACCAAGGATCCAAAGACAGTTATTTGCCGAGACAAACATCTTCAAGGAACTTGAAAAGAAAGCATCACGGGACCCAACAGTCTCAGGGGTTAAAGATGTTATGAAGTGCAGGCAGGAACTTGCCTTCCTAACGGGGGAGGCTTACTAACCTTTTCACTGGTAGGTAACTTCTCCTTTGCTAATTTTTGGCGATTTCTAGGAGACACTGGCTGTGGGCTGCCGAGTTTGGATGGCGCACGTGTAGATGGCTGGCTCTGGCACTTTCTGAGCCAGACTGTGGGACACTGGGCAGCGGTGGCACTGACCACTCGGGCCCCGGGGCTCTGTGGCCGAGTCAGAGAATGGGGACGAAAGCAGGGAAACGGCTGGTTTTCCGGACCGTCACTTTTTCTGTGTAAGACACTTTAGAGTGATTTAGAGAAACGTGAATCTGTGATACACAGAACATATCTTGGCCAACAAGATAAAGATCCCGAAAGTGCTCAGCAGAAAAAGCGGCCGAGATCTATGAAAGCACGACTCGTCGGGCTGAATGCGAGGGCCCCGGCCGGGCCCACAGGGTCCACGGCACAAGCCAGTGCCGGGTGAGGGACGCTCAGACTCACGGCAAAGCCCTAAGACAAGGGCTCGCGGAGCGGGCTGCAGTTCAGGCTGCGGGGGCATGCGACTCGGCTGCACGGTGAAGCACGGGCTCTACATCATGAGATGGGACAGTCCCCTCCGCGTCCATCAGCCACACTCGGCGCAGGGTGAGGCAGAGAAACCGAGGAGAACGGGGATGAAGAGAAGCCCCGGCAGCCGCTCTGGAACGGTGCAGGGCAAGCTGGCCGGAAGGCCCCGAGCGGGAGCCGCAGGGGGGCCAGCTGCTACTGGACACGGGGAGGCGGTGCCCGGAGGCGGTGGCTCTGCCTGCCACTGAGGTCTGTGCAGAAGCACGAAGGCCTTTCCCGAGGAGCTGCTGGCTTGGTGACTGGGGCACTGATGGGCTGGCAGGACTAGCCCGCCGAGGCCCCATCGACCGAGAATCCGAGATTACGAAGACGCCGGGGCCCTGGAACCCATCGACCAATGCCAAGGAATCCGAACTGAAGAGAATCCGTTTGCAGATGAAGTTTTCAAGGACACGAAGGAAGGGCACTGAAGAATAAATTTTACAAGCAAACCCAGTAGCTACTTCTCGACACTCACTTGGCGATGCCCAGAAGGCCGTGCCACTTTCTGAGGTGGCCCCTCCTGCAGCGGGTGACCTTTCCATGACTATTTAAGGCAGAGCTGGCGGGGTGTTCTGTACCCTCTCCTGTCAGCAGAAATCTTGATTCTGCGACTTCTACTCATCTGAGCTGCCCCACCTACGAGGACAAATACGAGACCGCTACCTTCCCTTTTAGCCACGTCAGCTCCTAAAGCTTTTCGGCTCTAAAATCCGATTCTGAAAAATTAAACTATGGCACAAATGGCTAACAACATGCAAGTGTGGAAGAATCAGAAATAGGTTGATTTTAAGTCTTCACGAAACAGAAGGCACTATTAGCATTATGCTACAGTGACAGGTGTTAATAAGTGATAATCTTGAAATGCCTGTTCCTGAACTTTTTGATTAATCTCAAGTAGGAAATTATAGAAGATGAGACCAAGACTAACAGTTTGTGAATCACATTAAAAATGGGAAATAGTCTTGCTTTAGAAAAAGCTGTTAAACTGTAAAGCGATGCGACGTCTCTCAGCGTGTGGTGGGGGAAGAAGCGGGGACGGAGGCGGGCAGGTGTGACGGCGCGCGGGGCGGGGATGCTCCCGGCCGCGTCAAAGGGCTATGCCGAGCCCTACAGACTGTAACATAAGCTGTGGCTGAGGCGGAGAGTCCACGGCGTTCCCCAAACTCATCCGACCACGGTCCTCTTTTTTCCAGAGGCTTCTGGCTATGCTAGGGTTTGGGAAACATGAAATTACCCATTGTGTAAGTTACAGAGGTCGCGCACAGGCAATTTCACGTGAGCGACCTCTCGCGTGGCACTGGTTAGACGCACCGTCCAGCAGTGACGGCGAGGCCCGCCCCTCCTCGCACGGGAGCGAAGCTCGCAGCACGGAGGGCGGTGCGTATGTACCTGTGTTTTCACCCGCGGTGCTCAGCACAGTATCAGAGACATCCACTCACGCTCAGCCAGTATTTGTCAAGGAACTGAATGGGTCCCACCAAACAGGTATCTAAAACCTGGGAACGATTCTGAAGTGATCCTCGCTAATGGTTTAAGACAGAAAACAGGCTCCCCAAGAACCGGAATGTCAGCGGGGTCTCTGCTGAAGGCAAATGAAGGGAACCGCTCGTACTGTGACACGAGTGGGTGAGCGGACAGTCCCGTGACACCCGAAGCTGCCTGCGGACGGAGACGCCGGCGAAGTCTCCGGAAGCTCCTGCTGCCCCGTTACCTCTGAGCCTCCGATCTGGTGGCCGATCGCGTGGTGGCTCCCGCGGGCTCGTCGTCTTCCTCCTCTTCCTCCTCCTCCTCAGACTCTTGGTCTTTCTTGTCCTCAGTTGCTTCAGACACTGACTTCTGGCGTTTTCTTTCCGGTTCTGAGGATTCTGCTCAAACGGAAAGAAGGGTAACAGCCGGATGCACGATCCCGGAGGCCAGAGTCATGGCGTTTAGAACGCAGGACTCCCGGGGGCCTGGAGGCAGAAGAACTGGTTTTCCATATCCTTCTTGTTTCTGCACTGGAGATTCACAACTGTTTAACTTAATCTCAAACACATTCGGGAGAGTTTACTCAGGCAGTTCACAGCCAGCATTCGTGAGAAAGTCACATGTACTCAGAGAAGCATCTGGGATGTAGCATTTCTGACACGGGATTAGAGCCATTTCGCACGTATTTATGTAATATTAATACTAGCTGTACCCCACTGAATGTTCCCTCATCCAAAGAAAAACGCTTCAAAAGATGGCTGCGAAATGATGAGGCTCTGTCATTAAGCACCTGCTATGAACATACCGGCATCATCGGACAACGTGAGTGAACGCTTGGGCTTTCTTCCTCTCCGACGCAGACTTGCTACTGTTTTTTCTTCACCATCATCCTAAAAGCAATAAAATTGAAGTCGAAAGGCCTATCCGCTGAGCAGTTACTGAGTTTATTTCTAAAGGACATATATTGATAAGAAAATTAACACTTACATTGCTTACACTTCTTTCTTGAGGAATGCCTGTGTCTTTATTGGATTCGTCTTTAAGAAAAGAAAGACCTCGGCATTAATACTTTATTAGTATAAAATTAAACGTCAATAGTCTGGCCCGTTGTCTATGAACGCAGCAGTGTTAATTAGCGCATTCTTATAAAATTCATCACTGTTTTCTATTGGCCAAGCAAAGTCTGAGTCGGAATACCTGGCACAGAGCAAATGGAATGGAATGCAAGTTGAGACACCAAGACAGTGAAGATTTGTTACTAATAAGCTGTGATCTGGGCAAATTCCTTAAATTCCCTGAGCCTCCGTTTTCTCATGTGTAAGGAGTTGGGTTAGACCATCTTTATGGTCCCTTTCGGCTCAGATGCTCTGAGCCCAGAAGAGGAGGAGGAAGGGGACATTGAGAGAACCCCTGAGATGTACCAGGATCTGTAGGTCAGGACTGCAGCCTTCACTGAATTCTCACTGTAGCTCTATAAACATTACGATCCCATTTTATAGTTAGGAAAAGGTACTTCTTATTAGCGAGGAGACTTGAGAAGTTCCCTTTCCGAGAAGTTCAATATATTGACGTGGACTGAAGGGATGAACCAAGAAAAAAGGAAGACAGGAGAACTCTGTCTTAAACTGTTAGTTTAAGACACATCATCATCACCAGATTCAGGAGATCACAGCTAAATAACAACATAACTACACAGCTTGGAGTCTTTAAAGAGCATTCACGTTATGAACATTCTTTTTGTATGGAATTAAAACATTATAACATTGTGAATAAAATCTGGTTAAAAGCCAAACATAAGCAGAATGTCTCCCTTTAAAAAAATCGAACAAGCCTTAATCTTCTAAGAGATAAGAAAAACTGAAATATGATCATGAGATCACACATAGTTAAATGCGGAGAAATTATTAAATTTTACATTTGCTCGACCCTGGTGATCAGAATACATCCTACCCTGATCTGACCATGTTACTTATTTGATTCAAAATAGCTGTCACATTCATCTTTTTGCCTATGTCAACCCTTTAAAACCCACCAATGACTCTTCTTGATTTTATGTAAAAAAAGTTAAACCATGAAATAAATACCTATACATTGTAAAAATTCAGGAAAATGCAGGCAACAGTAACAGATGACATGGAATGTTTCCATTGTCCTACCATCCAGAGCTAATCATTATCAACATTTTGGAATGAGGACAAAAATCCTTGAAACAATTTTATCTTTTGCATCCTGGCTTGGTAAGCTGCTCTCAAAATTCTTCTGCGAACAACAGACTCTTGAGCTGAATTCCCGTCTTCCTGATGAGAATGCCCAGCTCCCAGGCTGATCTATTTCTCCTTCACGCATAACCAATAAATTGTGGTTCGCAAGTGGCAAAGTTCCCTCCCTATTTTGCTTTTTCTTGCCTTCACCCTCCCCTCCGAAGGCTTCCCTGACTTCGACAACTGAGAACGGCGCAGATCCCAGATCGCAGGGAGAGCTGACAGGCTTCCAGACAGCCGTTTTCACCAGTGAGGCCAACAGCCTCCCTGCTGCTTCCTTACGCCACACGGGGCAAAGCTGTGCATACAGACCTGTCTGCATTACTCTCAGTCTGCCGCCAGGTGGAGACTGTTCTACCTAAATTTAAACAAACAAAAAACTGAAATCAGCAGTTTGTCATCATCTCACAGAAAATCGGTGATGCACAGGAGGACTGGGGCCTTTGTTTATTATGCTGGCATGGAGGCGGACTATTTGGAGCCTATACTTTGCAGCTGCTGAAGTGTACCAAATGGACGTGGACGCCTATGCTTTTTTAGTGCTGTCCTGGCATCTGCTCAGCCACTCTGCTGCTACGCTGGGGGCGGGCCCTGGAGGAGACGCGGCACAGCCCACTGTTAGTATTCCCCAACCCCGGCAAACGGGCTCACATGCTGGTAGATGCATTCACATGTGCCTCTTTAATCTTGTTGTCTTATAATAATAATAATAATAACTCTATGAGATAAGGTATTGTGATACCACTTTATATGGAAAGAAACTAAGTCTCAAGAGGGTCACGTGATTGGCCCAATGTCACAGACCTGGGAGTAAGTGGCAGAGTTGAGGCTTCAATCCCATTTGCTTTTGTCAGGTCAGTGGACATGAGACTGTCCTTCTAATAATGCTGTCACTGAAACTCATGTAACGAAACCTTGATACAATGAGTTTGCTGGGTATAAAACTTCAGGGTCAAAGATAAGGAATGTTTAAAAAGATAAAGTATCACTGAGGATTTTCAGCATTGAAATCAATGTACAATTTATTACAAAAGGAATGCCATAGAAAGCAGTAAGAGGGTGAGACACATCAGATGCCACTATCTAAACACCATATAATACAGCAAATTTCTATTAATTTTAATTAAGGGCGATAAGAAGGTAAGTCCCTTTTATATAACCAAACTCATAAGGAAGGCAGGAATCAGACTGAAGAACTACTAATATAATTATGCTTCCATGAAGATATTAGTAATCAAGATATTATTAGAAAAGTTAGTCAATGGTTTATTTAACTCTTTTAAAGCTTTTTAAATACTTAAAAAAAAATAAAGTTCAAAATACTAGATACTGCAGTGTACTCTTTCCAGGTCAAGAGCAAACATTTGAAGAGTTCTCGTCTTTTGCAATTACTTACAGTGACAATGCCAGTATCTGTTTTGCAGTCTTCTTCTAAAAAACACAAAAATAAATCTCACTTAGAAAATCAGTTGGAAAAATTCTTGTGTGTGAAATGAAAACACACCATACACCTACTTGTTTTTAGCGTTGTTTCCACGGGGTGTTTACGAGGTCTTCCTCTTTTTCTTTTAATTATTACTGGGTGATCTTCCTGAGGAGAAAAAGAAAAAAAAAAGACAGCAATAAAAAATAATTTCATCCTCTATTACACAAATACTATCATGTTTTCTCAAAATGAGATTGGAGTTTCTTCCTGAGAGCGCTCAGACCCCAGCTCTGTCACTTACGGAATATATATGGCTTTGAGCTCAGACCCCAGCTTTGTCACTTAGGGACACACATATGGCTTTGAGCTTAGTGCTTTGTGTCTCTCAGCGCAGCCCCCTCCCCTCAAACGCCGGTAACCACAGTAGAGACTCAGAGTCACGAGGACGCTGGGACGACAAGGTAATGCCAGCAAGTGCCTCGTGTTCACCTTTACCTCTAAAAAATACATACGTTCATTTAATTTGAGTTTAGTTCAAGTCATCTGTGACCAAATGTTATCCCTTATAAAGCTACTGGAGGCCTCTGAATTTCTCATACAGGAGTACGAGGAAACAGAACTATTAAAAAAGTTGTGTCTGGACTGGCAAACTTGGCAATGGTTCTCTAGAAGACCTGGCTGGAGTACAGGTTGTTTTCCTTGACGTATGGGCCTGGTCCCAGACCACTGTGATTTTGTGCCCTGCTGGGCAATGTGCAAATCCAGATGGGCTGAGGGCGGGCAGGCTGGAGGTCCCCCTGCTCCTGTAGCCTCCCAGGAGTCTCTGCCCTTGCCTCATGAAACTGGGTCCCCTGTGGCACTCCCTGCAGGCCTTCTGCACACCCCGCTCCTCCCACTTTGTCCTGTCTATAGACTCCAGGGCATAGTAGGCCATTTTCTGACCCGAACTGGGACCTGGCTTGGCTGTGCTAAGCTGCCAGGTCAGGAACCTGATGTGGCCGCTGGGGTACAGCTCTGGGCTGATCCTGTGTGGCTGTGACAGAAACAGGTCTCATACAAATGTGTGGACGAGATGAGGACGAAGAGAACGAAATTAATCAAAATGACACTGATAAAATGCACTTCATGAAATGGTGTCCCACTGCACTTAAAAAAAAAGCTCCTTCAACTCCTTCAAAAGTACTCAAGACAAACTTGGAACAGCATTTCATGCACTTGATTTGTTTTTGGGCCTGAAAGAAATCTGAACTAGTAGATACGACACACCTTCCTTACCTCCTGAGATTTTACGCCGTCGTCGTCATTCTGCTCCGCCTTGTGGCCGGTGGTACCACTGCTGCTGTACTCATCTGTAGAGAGGGCAGAGCTCAGTCACTGCTGGGGGCCAGAGTCGGTCTCACCGCTGCGACACTACCACAGTGACCTACGCACATGGGCGCACACACTCCACTCTCAGGCCTACGCCACCCGGCTTCGTAAGCCGGAGGCTGCTTAACTAAGCAGCACACTTTGGTCAGAAACGACACGCAGGCCCTATGGACAGTAAGCACGTGTGTGCCTGCATCACAGAGGGAAGGCAGAGGAAGAAATGCAGTTTCAGCTGGGGAAGCCTGGCAAGAGGCTGGCTGCTTAAAGGATTGGTTTCTTCTCCAGACGATTTATCTCAGAGACTCCTTACTCACCTTTCTCTTCCATGGCCCTGGAGGCAGTGCTGTTTGTGTTAGGACTTGTTTTAGACAGCTCCTCCGAATCTCCAGAGTTCTCTTCCTACAGGGAAGTCAAACGAGACAAGAAGCTTCTTTTTCAAATGGCCTTCATTTATCCTCCCAAAGTTGTCTTTTTTATTTGAAAAAAACAATTTCCTAGGGGTCTTTTAGAATAGTTTGTTGGAAACTGTTTTAAAAAAGTAACTATTGTTGTTGCTAGTGAGACTATAAAAAAGATAAATTCTGAGGGCAGAAAAACACAAGATAAGGTTCAACTATAAAGCAACAAGGCCACTCTTCTTTTTCTTTCGCCTGCAAAATGGAAATCATTGTTCTCCTCACGCTGCCCTTTGCCTTTTTGATAGAAACCCCAAAAGGAGATAGGAACTTGCAACAAATCCTCTCCTCTGTTGGGTGGTGGAGGACTTCGGGGAAGAGATAAGTGCTAAAGAGAATTTCTGGGTCTCCAGCTGGGCTGATTTACAGCAACGATCTCTCAACGGTTAAATTATTCACTTTGGTTGCAAAAAAGTTTTGAGCATGAAATACTGAAATGCTTATACTATAATGCTAATATAACATGTAAACAAACATATACAAATTAAACTTAAAATCAGAGTACTATTGTATAATATTAAAATATCTATGTGATTTCTTTACTGAAAATGATTAAGTTACAGTTTATTTAAATTCCACATAAAAAATTGAAGAGAAAATACAAAGATGCCTTTTAATCTGCTTCTCTCCAAATTGACGAGTATTATCTCAGGATTCTTATTCTGGATTGGGCAGGGGAGTGATGGCCTTAAAAGTCTGTTTCTTCTCTTGGCTACAACCAACTGAAATTCCTGACCATATGTGACTTTCCCTCTTTGATTATTAAAATTCTTCTACTACTTGTTATTTAGTTCATCACTTATTAGGGGAAAAAGAGACTCTGAACTGGTTTCAGTGAACCGGAAGTCAGCTGCATATATTTTTATAAGCTGACTTAAATACTTTTGGAACAAGGTGGAAAAATATAAATTAGGGAAGGAGAGAATGAGGAGATGGAGTTAGCTGAGAACAGACAGTAACTACTGAGTCTCACAAATGGCAGAACACCCAAGAAGAGGTATCTATCAGCAACTGGAGAAAGCTGGGCTTAGAACAAGAGATGGCAGGGGTGGAAATAAAAGTCTGTAAGCCACTTCCCTGAGTCACAAGGTGGAAATAAATCACAGGAGAAAAAAGTAATGAGTAAGGCCCATCTTAGAACTACATATATTTTAAGAGTAGGAAGTAAGGTAGAGGGAAGGCAGAATAATAACATTTTAGAATAATATGTCACTGTATTTCACTGTTTTGGTATATCTGTAATAAAGCATATTACTCTTTGGAAGAAAGCATGCAGAAAACTAAAGAAAGCATGCTGAACAAAAAGCTAAACAATGATTATATCTAAACTGTGAGAAAATACAATCTTACAGTATACAATTATAAAGTGTAACATTTTTTGAAAGCCTCAAAAATATATACCTTTTATAATACAGTGATTATTATAAAGATACATAAAGTAAAAAGAACACTGAAAAAAATATAAGCATTCACAGTGATATCATTAGATTATCCCCCAAATTTAAAATGAACACGTGGATAGAATACCTTTGTATCTTGGGGCTCAGTTTCAGAACATGGCCTCTGTGCTGTTTCTGTTTTGGAATCCAGGACATCTGGATTATCATCTGTAAATCGGTTTGAACAGAATCGCAAAGGAATACAAGCTAAATGAAAAATGAAATGCGTAGTTCTATTTTAAGACAGTTGGAGACTATTTTCTTAGGCTTGTGATACAGTGAAGCCAAAGTTATTCTAAATTTATATCATGTGATTTGAACACTGAACAGTGGCCTCGGCCCTGGGAGAGCCTCGCCCCGCCGCCCCAATAATAATATAAGAAATTTGCAAATGCTCTAAATGACACCAGTGAGACAGCAGGTTCTACGGAAAGGGCTTAGGGCACGCAGAGTCCCCAGAGACACTCTAACTTCCTGCATGAGTGACCTGAGAGGTACAGTTTAGTGAGGGAGACTACGAGCTTGGTTGGGAATCAGATTTATGTGGTGGAGATGAAGTCACAACCTCTCAAAACCTTACTTTCTTTACTTATAAAATGGCAATAATACCTAACTCACATAGTTATTGTGAATGGGTATAAACTACCATGGATAATACCTAGACGTAGCATGAACTCAATAATTATAATTACACGTTCCTCGAAAACGAGTTTGGAGAGGATATAAAGAAAAGGGAATCCTCGTGCAAGGACCTAGAGGGTATTATGCTAAGTGAAGTAAGTCAGAGAAAGACAAATTCCATATGATTTCACTTGTGTGTGTAATCTAAAGAACAAAATAAATGAACAAAACAAAACCGTGACTCATAGATAGAACGAACTGATGGCTGCCAGATGGGAGGGGGGTTGGGGGGCTGGGTGAAAAAGGGGAAAGGATTAAGAAGTACAAATTGGTAATTACAAATAGTCACGGGGATGTGAAGTACAGCACAGGGAATATAGTCGATCATATTGTAACAACTATGTCTGGTGCCAGGTGGGAGCTAGACTTATCGAGGGGATCACTTCGTAAATTATATAAATATCTAATCACTATGTTGTACACCTGAAGCTACAATAAAATAATACTGAATGTGAACTTACAAAGTAAAAATTAGAAACAATAAAATAATTACATGTTCCTCACTAAAAAAGCAGTCTCTGATTGCCCATTCTTTCTCACATATTATTTAATAAGCATTGATCAGATTTGTACTTTGTATCAGGTATTAAAGTCCCCGCACCGTATAATACGGTAGCCCCGCAACCACATGTGGCTACTGGCATTTAAAGTAATTAAAATTACATACAATTAAAAATTCAGCCTTTCATTCACAATGACCACATTCAAGTGCTCAGTGGTCACACCCGGCTAGTGGCTACTGCGCCGGACAGGACACACACGGAACACGCCCCATCATGGCAGCGGCTCGACTGCATGGCCCTTTACAGACCACGAGAAAGTCGACAGTGACGCGCACACGGCGACACACGCGCCTTTCCTGCAGTGCTTCGCTGGCCCTGCGGGGCATTTTATGATCCAAAAGGAGGAACTGGGTGGCACCTGGCTGGATCCCAGGCCCAGGTGACAGAGCTTGGGTTTGTATGAGTTCAGGGGTTGGGTCTTCTGCAAGAAACAATGTGGTTTCTAGGTCAAGTCCAGAAAGACCCTGGAGGTGTCAAGCCAGTCTGGAAACAAACCAGACTCCAGAGCTGTGAAGTAGACAATGACAAATGACCCTTGAACAACGTGGCTTTTGTTTTTAAAAATCTGCACATAAATGGACCTGAGCAGGTCACACCTGCATGGCTCAGCATCAACCAGATCTCTGATCCTCAGCTGGGAATCTGAGTGTGGCCTGATCTAAGTTACAGGAAATCAGGGCCCTTACCCCTCGTGTTGATCAAGTGTCAGCTGATCTACCCTCTAGAATTTTCTGTTATTGGCCCACTACTTTGGATGTGAAAATAATATGGTTTTCAAAGATGGCTGAAACAGGAAGAAATATATTCTAAATACCCAGTTCATCTTCTGAAGAGGGGTAGTGCTTCTTTCTTTTTCTTTTGGGAATATGCCTTTCTTCCTCTTCAATCTGGAATGAAGAATGACCGTGTTAAAAGCCAATAGCATGTGGATCCAAATCTACTGAAACGGGGGCACGCTGTTAGCTTCTTGCCTTTAGAATACATTTTTATATAAATTAAAAAAAATCTAGAATAACACTTTTGGCATCTAGATTTGGATTAGACTCATTTTCTAGGTTTGAGTCTTTTTTTGGGGATTCAAATGTAAATTCATAGAAAATACCCAAATCTGTTTTTGGCTACATACTGTATTTCAACAGTTTTAAAATTAAAAAAAAATATATATATGTGTATATATATTTCTTATTTTATCATCTCTGCATTCAAGCTATCTCTTACAACAAGTGACGTATCATAAATAAATTGGTGGTGTTTTTCTCCTCTCTTAGTGGCCCAATAAAAGCCTGATGAAAGGCAATACGTGAAAAACACTCCTGACTATACGACATGGAGACACCCAAATAATCCTGGCTCCTGCCACGCTACCAAAGCATTATAAGAACATAAACAGATAAAGGTGACATGGAGAACTCTTAGCAAGCCTATTTTATTTTTAATATATACAAAGTAAAGTCTTCGTGCATGGGTGAAACCCCTACGTATAAAATATGAAATCTTGAGTTTCTTATTAAAACCCACCTCTTTAGGATTTGCTTCAACACTGTGACCTCTTACGGCTTCCGTGTTTTCTTTTCTACCATTGGATATCTCTGAGTAATAAATACAAAAAAACACCTTAAATATTTATTCATTCTATTACTTATTTCAGGGCTGCGTGTGGCAGGGGGAAGGGAAACGGGGAAGCACACTTTACAAATGATGGGGATGGGACCCTCATGACATGTATGTCAGGGAGGCCCATGGATTCCATGCCTAGCTGTGAGTAAAGGAGGAAGATAACTACTGGACTTTACTTGGCTGACTTCGCAGCCGTGTCTGCCCAGTGCATGTCACAGCACAGCATGAAGAAGTATGACACACTCAATGCCACAAGTCTGACAGCACCAAATACGGGAGGTGTAAAGTGACAACTGGTACACCACCTGGGGACAATTTGGCACGTTCAGTAAAGTTGAAGAGGTGCCCATGAACCCGGCAATGCCATGCCTAGAGTCACAGGCACACTGTGTATGCACTGGCACCGGATCGCACATGGCCGCTCTCTGTATCTGAGAAACATTGCAAGAAACCTAAACGTCCACCAACAAAATAAGCGAACAAGAAGAACCGGTACATCGCACGATGGACACGAAATGGCAACTGAAGTGATGGAGCTACAGTTACGCACATCAACGTGACCAAATTTCAGAACGTAACGCTGAATGAACAGGTATGGTGGACAACACAGCTTCTGTGTGACAATCTCTCCCTAAAGCGTGCAACACAATGCGACATGCTACTTAGAGAAATATACAGAGCAAAGGCAGCTTGTGGTTCCCTTTGGGTAGATAAAAGGAAGAGAGTGGGATTAGAGGGGGTATAATGTGGATGTGGATTCAACTGCATCTGTCACATATCTAAAAAAGAATCTGAAACACGTAAATTTTAGGATGTGACAAAATGATGCATGGCATAACCTGTTATAAAAATAACTATTAATAACTGAATTTTGGACCTGAACATACGAAGAGGTTATTAAGACATCTTTCCCCATTTTTGGACTAGGAAGTCAACAGAATCAGTAGGAATAAAGGAAATTCTATGTTCTGCGTGAGAATTATCCCTCTGCAGGTGGTGGCCTCCATGGGTTGCGTGGAATGAAGCCCAACCCCCGGGAAAAGACCTACATAAATGTGTTGTCCTGACCTGTACCAAATTGAGACCGCCAGTCGGCAGTTAACACAGTTAAGTACTCAGCACAGAACTTCTCTGGCACAAACCGCAGGGGAGTATACACTTTGTATTCACATTGGAGTGAGCCCACTGTGAGTTTACTGGCAAAGTCAGTGGCTATGTAAGGCGAGGCACCACACATGAGTTGCACAGCCTTGAACGAGCCACTGGGCCTCTCCACCCTTCGCTTTCCTCCGCTACAGATGTGATGCTGTTAACACTCACCTTATGGATTGCATTAATTACGAGAGAAAATTGCAAAGTGATTAGCACAGGGCCTGGCACATAGAAGACACTCAACACGTGGTAATAATAATTGCTATTAAAATTACTGCTATGAAATTCATTAACTTACCTTCTTTGTTAGATTTGCTGTGAATTTCTTCACTTGTTCCTGAACCTGAATTTTCGACCTAAACACACAAGAGAAAAGGTCGTTTATAGATAATCTGACAAGTCTTAAAGAAAGAAACAAAAGAAAGAAAAAAGAAAAGAAAAGAAGGGAA